TTGTGAGAGTGTCGTGGGACCACCGTTGGGCCTGGTTTTTGACACCAAGGCGGTGCCTTTTATTTTGGAAGCAAGGATCTCGGGTTGCGGCGCGATAAGGAGACAGTACTGCTCATCCGCTTGTTGGCAGTTCACCAATCAATTTTGTGTGGCATTCCAAGTGTGTCGGCGTGGTCCGAGGGAGGTGCCAAGTGCGGCACATGCTTAAGGCGGACGCCGGTGCAAACTTGTGGTTGTGTGACGCAAGGGATTTTTTTGTAGCGGGAGCGGCGCAAGTCCTTGACGTTTTGGCGTGGTGGAACCCTTGGTACCAGTCCTTGGCACCATTGGGGCCATTTGGGAGTACGTTACATCGACGGTCCTACTGATTGGACCTCCGACACCTCGACGTCGAGGGATCTATTTTGAAGTGCGTCGGCAACCGTCATTACATTGGGCCCGGCGGGACCGATTTGGAACCAGAGGTGCCACTCATCACTTGTGGAACTTGCTGGAGCAAGCAAGGACCTCTCAATAATTGTTGGGGTTCACGGCGCTTGTGATTTTCTATTCAAAACATTTTGGAGCATGGTTGGCATTCAAGATTCAACTTGGCTTTCTTAGGTGAGCCGGTCGGCATCAACTACACTTCACTCAAGGTCAGTTAATGACTCAGACCCATCACTCCCCACGTGAAACCACACTTTTGCTTGCCCCATTTCCATTTCCTTGAATATTCAGTTGAAAGAACGAAAGACTGGTTTGTGTGTGCTCAAACGTGAAAAGAGAAGTGTTGTCTAACCCCGAGTGTTCCTGCCTACCCTTGGAATATGTCTTGGCTTTGTACTTTTGTTGCAGGCATGTGAGCAAAAGTTTCGTATGTCCAACGAGGACTGGGGTCTTGCGGATGAGACGCTCCGCCTATGAAAGGCTCAAATGTTTTTTTTTGTTTTGGTTTATAAGATCCTTGGTCGATCGAGGCTCACGAGGGAGGGATCTTGTCATTGATTTTGTCTTCCTTTGTTCGGTTAGGCGATCTCCGCATTAGGAATTCAACGATGTGGGCCGTCCGTTACATTACTATGAAGCGACCCTCACCTATTACCCGCGATAAGAATTGTAGGACGCGGCAAAACGGGTCGATAAGGCTCCACTGTTTTACCCTTTTGCCTTCTTTTCGGAACTATCCGACGCATAGGAAATAGCTCCGATGAGCATGCACCTAGCAACCTCGTCTGGCTTGAGCAGCACCACGGAAGGATGGGTAGCTTCCAACTCCTCTGGGCCTTGTGGGACTAAGTAGCGGTAGGAATCGCCCTACATTTAACCTGCACACGCTTGACGTCGCTCTATATAAGTAGCCCAGCTTCTCGTATACTTCACTTCACTACAAGGTTTTTGTGTCGCTGGTTCCTTTTTTAAGAGGACGACGGAAGTTGGTTCATCGTAGCCTGCATCGCCTATCGTGCCGAACCTTGGCAAAGGGAGTCAGGCGGCCAGTCGGAGAAATGTGGGCGCGGGTAGCAGACAATACAGGCGCCGCAAGCTGTGCCGCCTCGAGCAGTTCACGACGAAGGGTGGCGACAATCGCCACCATCATGCTGTTTCCAAGCAAGACGGAGGCAAGGGCGTCTGCTGTAGCCGTGGGAGGATTTACGCAAGGATGGGCGAGAGTCGGCCGCATGGTCTTCCATCCCGCGGATGTCTTCCCGACCGAGGCGGAGCTCAGGGAAGACCAAGGAACCCTAAACGTCAGCGTCTGCCCCCTTAGGAAGACGCATTGGTTCGACGTCGGGTCGTCTACGACGTCGTGAACGAGTCTATCCACCTTAAGTTCGAGGACGAGATCATGTGGTTGTCCCTACGCATTATGCAGAACCACCACGCTCGGCAGGGGCCATTCATATACATTGAGCATTACGATCGCATGGAACCGTATGATGTCGGATTCCGTGTCGCAGAGAGATGTGACGATGAGGCCCTCCAGCCACAGGAGGAGAATTTGCTAAAACTCTTTCATATCTGATGATGGCTCCTTGTGATGCGGGACGGCTGGAGCTCGGCGCGACCTGACGATCCCAAGGTATCTCCTGGTTCGAGATACGAACGATGAAGACCGCATCGCCTAGGCGGAGAGGATGTCGATGGTGTTCGATGGGACTCCGACTCAATGGCTCGGCTTTGTCGGAATTGTCAACGACGGACGTGGGTTTCTTCCGGAAGAGCGATCGGAGATTCGACCAAACGTGATTCGGCGTCCGAACGAGTTGCAGGGCATACATTGTATTTCCATCGTGTCTCGAACATGGAGTTTGTCTCTCGAGTCACCGCTGGAGTACTCTTCAGACGATCCGGAACGCGAATGGTGTTTCTTTGGCTTTGAAACACTTCCGCCCGACACCTTAGGCGCCTCGGTGTACCTTTCTGGTCCGTCCTGTTGACATTGGCGCGACGAATGGCGGAGCTCTACAACACGAGCGACCTACGACTACGATGGCAAGGACGAGTGCGGAGGATGGCGATTAACGAGGCGTTCATCCGGCGGCATACCCGGCTAGACAGACGCGCTCGGACGACTCGCACGCTTTACGGCCACTAGGAGTCGACCACCCTCTATAGGTCCCTCTAGAGTGGACCGTCCAGCGGAGGGTAGCGAGTTAGACTCCTACGATCGGATCATCGGGCTTCGCCCTCGAGAGGGCTAAAACATGATAAGACTCAGTAGTGCCGACCAAGAAAACATGGCTAGCCCACCCCTATGATTATCATTTTTTTGCGATGAATTTCGTTGGTATCATGATGAGGAGTGAAGGCGGCACATAAAAATTGTTATTTTCTTCTGTATATATTTAAGATTGGTGGTCGCTCGCAGTTACGCGATAGCCGCTGTACTAGGAGGGATGCAAGTGGGTTGGATAACAGGGAGTCACAGGAAAAATAATAGAGAGTGTCTTGGACATATCGTGTGGAGTTGCCTTTGCAAATTTGATTCAGTAAGTTCCTGTCTCTGCAAGTTGCGACCGTGGACGGTGTCGAGGTGGTGATCCTCTTGTCAGTTTTCACGTACATCAATTGTGGAAAGCTCTTGAAAACTTTCCTTTCAACTTTATGAGATAGTGAAAACAAAGGCTTGTTCTCTGTCATCATACCTGCTAAAGATTGTTGTTTCCGCCTTTAGGATGATTCGCTACCTGCATGCTGCATTTTTACATCTTCGTTTGCAACCTCTATGTGCCTTGGCTGTCATGTATGTGTTTTTGGTAACGGCTTCAAAAATGTTTGGTTGTAACGCTCATGTGCCTTAATGGGACATCTATGTGCGAATTGGTTACAACTCTCGCGTGATTAACATATGTTTGTGTCGTGGTTGTTTACGTGCATGTGTTTAATTGTAACATCTGAATGTCTCATGTAACCCATATGTGTGTTTTCTGCTGCAATGACACTGTCTTTCGGAAAACGTCTTTATAAAACACTAGGAGTGGCTTCGATGGGATTGTTCTATATTCACCTATAAGAATTGTCTGTACTGCGGCGAAACGAGCAAAACGCCCCTGGCTGGTTTACCTTTGCGATTGCATGTAAAAACTTTCGTATGTAAATCAGTAGCTCGATAGGGATACGCCTCTGAGGATGGTGACAGCTCCTCAGGGAAGACGAGTTGTGCCTCGCGGGACCCTGACCTATCGTAGGGGAACGCGAGAAGTATGACTGACGCATCCGGCTAGAGAGACAAAACCTCGTCGTTCACCTCGATAAATTTTGGGGAAAGCATTCCGACTCTAAGAAGAAAGTTATCAAACTCCTGCGTGATGCGGCCGGGAGGTCCCCATTTATGCGCTACGATGCGAAACTCCTGCGTGATGCGGCCGGGAGGTCCCCATTTATGCGCTACGATGCGAAAGGGGGCCGTTGCGTCCGACAGGTGGCGCCGTTGCCGGGGATGACGACTATTTACCGTTGTCCCTGGTGGAACGATACTCGCATAAGCTAATCCCGAATAATTACCTTGTATTACTATTTAACTAAGCGGGTCGGTTGTGATTTGGTTTCCTCTCGAAATGACAAGTGACATTATTGTAACAATGACCGTAGTACGACTGAAAGATTGTGAGATAATAACGACTCAACATGGATGGGCCATCCCGATCGGTCAGAAACCGCATAATGCAATGAGTTTGATAAAAATCTTACGTGACTCACGTATCTGATTGTGATCGTTGTTCCTCCTGACATATCACTCAAGATGGGGAGCCCCAACCTCGCTGAGAACGATAGTCTGGGCGACGAGAGGCGCAATGACATACAGGAACTCACGAGGCTTATCCGACAAACAACCACATCACATGAGAAGTTTCCGAAAATCAAGGTTCCTCTGTTCGATGGGGAGAATGTTACGGACTGGCTAGAAAAATATGAGTTGAATGCTCATGTGCGTCAATGGACTGAATGGAAGATGTTGGAAGTAGTAAAATGCTATGTGCACGTTGATGTTGCAGAAGAACTCGGTGAGATGGCGTGTAGGACACGAATCTGGAAAACATTCCGTGAGCGAATGTTGGAAAAATACGAGTTAGGAGACGGATTGTTGGACGTCTCTGATCTCCGTAAACTGGGTCGGGAGAAATTTGAGACGATCGAAGGGTTCCTAAAAAGGTTTGAGAAGGTAGCTAAGAGGGTTCCTGATTTTCCCGATAAGACGAAGTGCATTATCTTTCTGACCAACTTTACGGAAGTCGAGCAAAGAGAATTGATGAAAGGTTTTACTACCAGGTACGACTGGGATAAGATCAAGGCGAATCTTAAGGTCGGTGACTTCGACCAAATGCTCTATCATCTCCTGCGCAGGCAAAGGAAAATACAGGAGGATGAGTTAGTAAGTTGTGATAAGGATAAAGAGATGTTCGGGGCGATTATGGATGTTAGGATGATAATGAAAGAAATGAGGAAGGAGTTACTGTGTGGCAAGGTAATAACGGTGAGGCAACAAGACGGCAAGAGAAAAGGAAAAGCGAGGGCAGAAGAGTCCGACGAGGAAGATAGTGAAAAGGAAGAAGAAGAAGAACCTCCTCGGAAAGCAACGAAGGTCGAACGAAAGGCCATGAATCAAAACGGGGAGGGCAAGGTACGAATGGAAACAAAGCCAAGAATAAGAATGGTCATGGGAATGATAATTGTGATACTATCAATCAGCATCAGAGACAATCTCAAGATACCGAGCCCCGACAATTTCGGTCGCAAGGCGGAGGAGGCCGGGGGCGTGGTCGGGGAGCTTCTGGTGGTCGCGGTTACGGTAATAAGGATTGGAATTGTAATTACTGTGCACAAAGAGGGCACCGTGTCCGATACTGTCAGACCCTCGCTAAAAATGAGGAGAATCAGATTGTGTACACGAACATTCGAGGCGAGGTGTTCGATTTCGAAGGGAACCTTATCGATTCATACATAGAAGGAGGAATGAGGAAAGAAGCGTTTCGACGCATGAACCGAACCATGCCCTGCACTTACCGGTTGACCTCGAAAGAGGAAATGAAGATTCTTGAGTCTAGAGAGGTTGCACGCCAGGCAATTGTTAGTAGGTCTGATGTTAGTAAGGGCAAGACCGAAAAGGAGAGGGATGTGCGAAAAGCCTTAAGCTCGAGAAGCGGTTTAAAGACATTTGGAGGCCAAGTTAAGAGACAGGGTCTCGACATGGAAAAACTTCGGCTGGGCATGCCAAATATGTTTCTGCTTGGTGGGCACGACGGGAGAAGGGGCGTGGCTCCTTTGGCGCCGTCTCTGTCAGCATTACGTGTGGAGACGCCGTCATCATCCCACCTTCAGACGACCTCTGCGGGAACGCGTTCCGTCTTGAACAGGCCCGTCCTCCGAAGAGGAACGTCACCAGCGGTCCCTCAAGCACAAAAGATTAAGAAGAGAATCCAACCTCGAGTCGCGCCCGTTGTCAGTGCGAAGGCACAACAAGAGGTGCCGGTAGTAATTGTGGAAGAAGACTTGGACACGGAAGATGAGAAATTAAGGGCAGAGGACGAGCGCCAGGCAAGGTTACGCGCCCAAAAACGAGGTCTAGATGAGAATCAAGATAAGGAAAAGGATGAGGGAGATGAGGAAGAGCACCAGAAGAAGAAGAACCGGTACACAATTCCGATTGAGGAAGGGATCGACATTGAAAAGATGGTGGATCGGACACTTGAGAGTCATCGAGACTTGGTAACACTCAAGGAATGTTTGGCAGCCTCGCCAAAGATTCGGGAAGAGCTTAAGCAAAGACTAACTCGACGAAAAGTGATGACGGTTAAACTAGGGGAGGTAATCCCACCTGAGGCAAATTGGACTCCTGCGGGAGCAAAGATGGATTGGAGGTGTGTAGCGACTGGGCACGTAATGGTCAAGATAGGTGTTTCACAACATCTTGCACTCGTTGACACCGGAGCGGAGATGAACATATTAAGGGAAAATGAGGCGTTCGAGTTAGGAATTGAGATTGATCGCACTGATAATGGATTTATGGTTGGCGCCGGAGGGTCGACGCCCTTCTGTGGAACTGCCAGTAACGTCAGTATACAAATCGACAAGGTAAAGGTACGGTCTTATTTTTACGTGTTGCCACCGGTTGAGCATGGGGTGATGTTGGGACGGTCATTCTTATGTCGATCGGAGTCAATCATCATCAATAAGCATGATGGGACGATGTTCATAATACTGTGCGATCCAGTGTGTGGACACTTCGAGGTGATCAAGTGCTCGAACACCGGGCCTAAGAATTCAAGGAACAGGTTGAACCCTGAATCCTATAGCTTCGAGGAAGCGGAACAATTGGTAAGAGGGCAAGAGTCATACGGGGAGGACGATGGGAAGAAACCGAAAGAGTTTTCCTTAGCCCTTCCAGATGTCTCACAAGCTTTGGATTTCGTTTCAGCCCACTCTAAGATCGACCGAAACCTCGTACAAACGCTAACTGAAATCGTGTCTGAAGGTGGTGGCACGGGGAGTATGTTCTTAACATACCAACCTAGCACCCAGTCGGTTGGTGAGGAAGGTGTGGTCCCCCAAGCCAAGCAAGGGTCTTTTTTAGAGGAGGGAGACTTAAAGTTGGATCAAAACGGCGGTATAAGAAAGTAGCTGACAAAGCCAAGCCCGTCTCCGTCCTAGTCACCCATGACGAAGAAGTGTATTACAAGGAAGAGAGAGAGTGGGTCAGGGTGATGAGAGAAAAAGGTGAAAGAGAGTCGTGTCGTCTGACCGATGAGAGAATTAAGGAGATGATCATTGGAGAAGAGGGTTTCCTGACAACAGAAGAGAGAAACCTCATGATTGATGTCATGAAGGGGGAACACTTGACATATGTTTTTAATGACGATGATAGGGGAAGATTAGACGTTGATAAAATCCCGATGATTAGGATATATACGGTACCACACCAACCTTGGAATATAAGGGGGCCGCGCTATCCTAACCCGGATGACCATCGGAAGGTTGTAGACTACCTGGATGGGAAGATCAAGACGAAGGTAGCCGACTACTCCTATGGACCATATGCGTCCCCATGGTTTTGTTTTGTCAAACCTAACGGTGTCTTACGGTGGGTACAAGACTTGCAGAGATTGAATGCGGTGATGGTTCGGGGTGTCGGTGGACTTCCAAACGCGGATCAATTGTCTGAAGCTAGCGCCTGTAGACCCATCATCACCTTGATTGATCTTTATTCTGGCTATGATCAGTTTCCCTTGTACACGGCTGATAGACCTATGACGGCAATGCATACACCTAGGGGGCTGGTTCACATGTGTTCCGCGCCTCAAGGTTGGACTAATGCTGTCGCAATCGTGCAACGATATATGATGAAGGTTATGCAACCACTTTGTCCGGACGTGACCTCACCATATATCGATGACTTGTCGATTCCAAGACCAAGGGAGAAGGATGAATCTGAAGTGAAACCAGGCATACGTAGTTCGTTTGGGATCACATTCACGACATCAAGAAAGTTCTGGCTAAGTTAAAAGAGTATAATATCACGACGAGTGGAGTAAAATCCAGACACTGCATGAGTGAGGCTACGATCTTGGAATTCCTATGCGACAAGAAAGGTCGTCGGCGGGATACCAAAAAAACGAATAAGATCTTAGAGTGACCTACTCCGCTTAAGTCTGTTAGTGAGATAAAGAGTTTTCTCGGGACTTGTGGGTTTTGGAGGATCTTCATCCAACATTTTGTTGCAAGGGTGGAGCACCTACGCAAGCTCGTGCGTATGGGCCAAGATTGGGAATGGGGACCGAATCAAGAGAGGGTTGTTGAGGACATAAAGATTGAGTTTCGCGAGGGAGGAATGGTGCTCGGGGTTCCATGCTTCGGTAACGACCCAGAGCGACAATTCATTATTGAGACCGATGCAGGACCTACGGCTCTAGGAGGGGTCCTTATTCAAAAGGACAAGAGCGGGGTCGAGCGTCCATTAAGGTTTGAAAGTAGGACCCTCAACCTCACAGAGCGAAACTATCCTCAGTTCAAGAGAGAGACTTTGGTGATACTTCATTGCCTAAGAATTTTTCGCAATTATGTTTTTGGTCGGAGGTTCGTCTTGAGGGTTGATCTAACTGTCTTGGCTCAGTCATTGACAAATTATTCCCCTTCCGATCCGACGATCGCAAGATGGCTTACGTACATTTGGATGTTCGATTTTGAAGTCGAGAGGATAGCCGGCGTGAAGAATCGGGCAGACGGGCTAAGTAGGATCGACTGGGACAACTCCAAGATTCGAGCAGAGGACTCTGTGCCTGTTGACAATTTTCTGAAAATCGAGGAAGGTCAGCTAAGTATAAATTCTTACCATTATCTGGTTGATGCGTCTTACCGACAAGGGAGGTCTACGTGGAACACTCCCAACTTTTATCAAGTTCGTCCTGAGTTGGTAAAAGAAGAGTCATTTATCGAAGAGGATCCGTGGGGTGAGAGGTCCAGTGAGCAGATAATGAGCCTCGCACTTTCTGACTCCGTTCGACTGTCGGAAGACCCCTTGTCAATTCAAGAAGGTTTTCGACATGCCGATGAGGTCCTCAGAGTATCTGGCGGGACGTGTTTTGTGATCAACGCATTAATTGAGGAAGATTTGCGGGCATTGGTACCAGATGACGAGAACGGTAGGATGAAAGAGGCCTTTAGGAAAAATGAGTACGATGGGATATATAAGGAAATCAGATTATGGTTGAGTAAGGAGGTACGCGAGGAAAGTGTGAAAGGTGACATTTGTCGAAAAAGTGAAGAGTTTGTGGTTAGGTGCGGCCATCTATTTAAGAAGAGCGAAGACGGCATCCCAAAAAGGGTCGTTTGTGGAATTACGAGGCAATTAGACGTGATTGCAGCTCTCCATGACGGGATTGCAGGCGGGCATCGCTCGGCTCGAGTGACGCTCCAGAAGGAACGGCATCTTTATTTTTTGGATGGTATGAGTAAAATGGTTACGGATTACTGCAGTTCGTGCATTCCTTGTCAAAAACGCTCCAACCATAAGTATGTCGAAACCGTTCATCCTCGGTACGTTGCTGAACCAGGAGCCGTGGTGTACCTCGACTTGGTGGTTATGCCGCTAGGAATGAATGGGTATCGGTTTATCTTTGACGCAAGAGATAATCTGACAGGGTTCGTCGATGGTTGTGCAATACGAGAAAGGACCGGAAAGGTTTTAGCTGGGTGTATCGAAGAATACTACCTTCGGTATCCTTTCATCCGCGAAATCATGATGGACCGCGGTGGTGAGTTCAGAGCGAAAGAAGTTCAAACTCTCCTATGGAGATTCGACGTTAAGTACCCATATACCACGAGGGCGCATCCGCAAGCAAACACTCCGGTTGAGCGGGGGCACTCCACCCTCACAAACTTGTTGGCTAAGTGGTGTGCTGGGAAGCCTTCTAGGTGGCCGGTGTACCTTCAAACAGCAATGTTCGTCGAAAATATCACCGTGAAGAAAACGACTGGGTATGCTCTGGCAACTCTTTGGTTTGGTCGACATGTAACCTTTCCGATTGAGAGTTTCCTGATCACGTGGCATAAACAAGACATAGAGGTCAACCTCTCATTTGAAGAGCTACTCGACCTGAGGGCCAGACACATCATGGCCACGGAGGAAAGGATTGAAGAGGTCGTCGCTTCGACTGCAGCAAGTAGAAGGGCGGACAAGGGGAAATGGGACAAACAGCCGCAGGTCCGCAAGGAACCCTTAGAAGTCGGTGATGTTGTCCTTCTCTATGACTCTTCGTTGGAAAAACAATGGTCGAGGAAGCTGGATAATAGGTGATTGGGAGGTCGAAGAGTTTAACGGAGCTCGAAGACGGGATTGGGTTTCAGAATCGAAGTTGAAGAAATTCATACAGAGGGTATGAGTAAGGTAAGGATCGACACGCTTTCGCCTGAGTTGAATATATTTCTGCGTCATTGTCTGGTGATTATTTGTTTAGTCAATCGAGTCGTGCCTTCAGTGGAAACTGATGGGTTTCTTTTCTTTCTTTTCTGACAGTCCTTGTGGCGACAGGGAGGGAAAGGAAAAGTGAAGCTACAGTTCGAGATGGCATCGAGCTCTCGCCAAGACAAGGTTCAGAAGATGGTGCGGACTGCGATCGCTCGCTTATCCGAGAAATTGGCAGCTCAAGAGAAGGGAGTTTCTTTGTTCATAGGGGATAATGTGGAAGAGTTCATTGATCTTTTCACGAAACTCGCTAACAAGGAACAATGGACTGAGGATCAGATGAGAGACCAAGTGGCTCGGTACTCGAACGAATAGTGGAGACCCGTTGTTGCTATTTTTGCAGAGGCGTCAGGAAACTGGACCGAATTCGTTGCGGTCATGAGAGATACCTTTAACTTTGGAAGTATGGAAGAAAATAGCAACCAAGCCATGATACAAATCACCCCTGTAAAGACTCAGGCTGGAGTCGGAAACACACCGATTACAGAGTTACTAACAGGTATCATTGAACGACTCGATGAGTTGGATCGTCGTGCTACCCGCCTGGAAGGGGCACAGGGAAGGAAATATTATAGGTCGCAGTCAACCACAGCCTCGGTAAAAGGGAAGGAGAAAGTGGTTGAGCCTGCCTCGAGAAGTACTCAGAAGAAATCTCTGGAGGGCAGACCTTCACAACAGTCGAAGACAGGATCCTTGGTAATCAAGGAAGGAAGCTTGTCACAGGCGAAAAGAAAAGACGGAGTGTCGGAATCCATGAAAGTTGCTAGGCCGGCACCTCAGAAAAGCGTAATTGTTGGAAGCAAGAGAGAAAGGGTCACATCGTCTAGCAATGAGATACCGGCAAAGATTAAAGCCGATTTCTCAGCCCGAGAGAGAGGAAATGCACTCAGCACGGAACAACGTAGCAAGGTTTTGAGGAGGGTTCTTAGTCCTCCGCTGTCTGGGTCGAATGGTAGAACAAACTCTCTGAGGACGGAGGAGACACCATTATCGGGACCTCCCTTCTGCTTCGTCTGTAAGAAAACGGGTCATAAGGTTAGAGATTGCCCAGTTCTTAGAGAGGAAACCAGATTGGAGCCGTGATATAATTTTAAGGCTATATATATATATATATATATATATATATTATATATCCATATATATATATATATATGTACCGAAGCTTTTGTTATTGATTCTGTTTGACTCCATGTTTTGACTCAGTTGGCTTGATATGAGAAATGTTGGACATTGTCGATTAAATTTTCTGCTGGAACCTAATAAAGTAAATCGGTTGGAAGTATGTTGACCGTACGGTGCAAGTTTGAAATTCTAAGAGGAACATTCATCGTTCATTTTGAATTCTTGTACATTATTAAATTGACATTGTGGTGCTGCATGTCCTGCAAACTGGATGAATTGATCATTTGAAAACTTCATGAAAGATCATTTATTTGCTATGAATGTAAATTGAAATATGTATGTTGATATTGCCTCTCTCCGAAAACTGAAATGAGAAAAGAACTTGGAATAAGAACTTCTGATGAGTGGCTTTTCTCGAAACGGGTGGGGTCCAGACTTTATCTGGACAGCTCCTGATGGTTGTATTGTGGGAGGTTTGTCAAGGGCTATACATGGCTCATTTGGGTTCTGCTGAGGTCGACATGAGTCTTCGATAAGGGGATGATAGGAGACTCGGGACCTTAGTGTTTATCCCATCCCCGGCATCCATTACCGTAGTACAGTGCCAGTATCCTCGTGGGACATGGGAGGCCCAGGTTGGATTCCTGGCGGCACGATTGAAAGAGTGTCGAGGTGTGGTGTTTGCATCCCTATGGCTCAAGGGAGACCCGGGTTGGAATCCCGGCGGTGAATGGATGTTTCCCCAGGTAAACTATTCAAACAACTTGATGGATGCTTACTAGCCGGAGGTTGCATCCGAGTCCGGTACCACTCGAAGAGACTGATGTTGTTTTGGCCGCCGGTGGGATGATACCGGAACCATTATGAAGGAAGACGCATTGGTTTTAGGCTTCCAGAGGCTGAATCTGGACACTATTCCAAGTTCAAAGATTTTGGCTAGCCAGAGGCTGAATCTGGTACCATTTCCGTCATTGGTTTTAGGCTTCCAGAGGAAGAATCTGAACATTATCCCAAGTTCTAAAATTTTTGGCTAGCCAGAGGCTGAATCAGGTGTCATTTCAGGAACTGTTTGAGACTAACTAGGGGTTGAACCCAGTAACTCATGAGAAAACTGTGTTTTGGACTACCGAAGGCTGAATTTGGTTTCATCCACAGACACTTCAATTGGTTATGCTTCCAAAGGCAGAATCTGGATATTATTGCAAAAAATTTGGCCAGCCAGAAGCTGAATCTGGTACCACTTCAATGATTGTTTTGTGCTTTTCAAGGCTGAATCCAGTTTTGTTGTTAAAGCATGTTTGAATTTAAAATGGGTTGTCTTTTAGAATGAGGGTCATGTGTGCTTTGAGAGACCTGGCTACAAATACGCTTGGAAATAGACGCACGCAAAATTATCAATAAACTTTCTACCTGTGTATAAATCCTAAACGACGAGGACGTCGTTTAATGGGGTCCGGGATGACCGTCGGGGCAGAAACCCTTACAAGGGTATCTGTCGGTGTTTTGACGGCTCGCAGGAAGGCGCCGTCCTATCCATAAGATGACGGGGCACCGGTGAGCGAAAAGAGACAAAGCGAAGATAATCCGCCACGACGCGGCAAAAGATTTCATGGGTATCCCAACCCCCTGTACATATTTACATTTTTTTTCTTATAGGGTATTGACCCCGCGTCTGTCTTTTCAAAATCTGTTACTCGGACTCTAGGGTTGGGCACCCAAGTGGTTGCAGGAAGGGCAGTTGACGCTACAAAGACATATCGCGGCAAAAACTACTAAAGGAAGGAAGCCGCGACGACAGGGACGTCGGGGCTACCATTCCCCTTTGCCCTACCATCGGAGCAATGTGAGGCGGCCTAAACCAAAGGTTGTTGGGCGGCCCATCGGCCGCGTAATTCAGGGTCCATCAAAGGAAAAGACCAACGTAAGAAATACTTGAAGCACGACTGCGAAGATGGCGCTCGAATTAAAGGCCTATCCGAAGGGGTTATTGAAGATGACCTACCCTATCGCAATCCCTATAGGACTCGACCTCGCTCCTACGCCATGCATGTTCGCCATGCCATTTAGCTAGACTAAAGTGTGTGTCCAGGTAATATGAGAAGAAGTCGCGGAAATAGGCGCGTCGGGACCAAGCATTTCCCGACGTTCCTACCACTAGGACAATGCGCGACAACCTAAAAAGAAGGGGGTCGGCTGCGCAATTCAGAGCTCGACGGTTGAAAACGACCGCATCAGACAATGGCTCGGAGGCGGCATAATAACGGGGTTGCTGGCGTTGCGCCTGGCACAACCACTCTTACAGAAGTGGTGCCCCTACCCACACAGTAGAAGAGGCTAGCCCGGTCGGTTTAGGTGGCGGACTACTGAATACCCGATACAGGGATCGAGCCCGCGCGCCTACAAAACGATGGGCTAGCTCCTTTTCGAAGGCGGAAAAGCAAGGAGCGCGTGGCGCAACCACTCATATAAAAGTGGTGCTCTTTCCCACACAAAAGAAGAGGCTAGTCCAGTCGGTTTGGGTGACAGGCTGCTAAATACCGGGTATGAGGATCGAGCCAACGCGCCCCAACCGATAGCTCTTTTTCGTGGAGTAGGAGAAACGATTTGCGGAAAAACGCTCGATCAGGGAAAATCGCGTGGCCAGGAATCCGCCCGCCTTGCAGACTTTCGGCCCGTGCCCGATTACCGGTGGACTCGATCTCAGGGCAGCGGGATAGAAGGACCCCGTGATCGTTGGGAGGAAGGACTGAGGAGACACAATAACAAGAAAACGAACGGGGTTTTCCCTGATACGATCCCGCGGAGTTGGGCCTCGAACTGTGGGCGGCGGCGTGAGGAGAACGAAAAGCGTGTGACGACAAAACAGGGGGGGATTAAGAAGAAACGAAATTAAGAAAACGAAAAGGAAAATGAACGGGATTTTTCCTAAAATGACCGCGCGACGGGGATTCGAACCATGGGCASTGAGAGAGGAAAACGGGAAGGCAGGGCAAAGAGAAAACAAGAACGAGTAAACGACAAAAAGAAAAAAAAATCAACAAAAAAAGACAAAGGGCAAATAAAACAAAAACACTAGATGGCGCGAATACAGAAGGAGGCAACGGATCTCCTTTCTTTTCTGTTTTTTTTATTTTTTATTTTATTTTTCCATTCCGAGTTTTCCTGCTCTAACGTGGAAACWGKGAGCTCAGTGRGGCTGCGCCTGAAGGAAGGACGGGTGCCCCACACCCATACTGCGCCTGAGTTCGAACTAGGGTGCCTGGTTTAGCACCACGGGTTTTCCTGTGGCTGCTGGTACCACTAAGGCTATGCACCTTCCCTAACCTGCGGGAAGGTTYATTCAGACTTCACAACAGTCTGAAGGAGGGGATGGGGGGCGCATTTTACCGTGTCCTAGCAGAAGATTCACTCTCGTCTTGCAAKGACTACAGTGAAGGYCGTGGCTGCGGCTGGGGCAGAAGTAGTCATGTTGACCCCTCCCCTTTGGCCTCAGCTGAGCCATCATGGGTTCCTTGCAGACTCAGCACCCCCAACATTGRATCTTTCTGATCCTGGGGGTGGGGTTGCGTGTCGGGAAAAGACACTACTACATGGGAGGGGAGCCAAAGGGAATTATGGTGTGATTCTTGTCATTGAGATCAGTGGATCTTGTGGCTGGGCATCCACCAAAGGAATAGGAAGAGGGAGGCTGAATAGGGAACTAAGTCCAACCTTTCCCCGACGTACCGGCAGTGGGAAAAATAGCCAGGTACGTCAAACTTTAAAAACTCATAACTCCTACAATAATGGTCAGAAAAATACAAGAAAAACTGTTTMAGAAATGAGACAGTGTCARCCATCTCGTGAGAATTACGAGATGACTAATTGAACTAACCCTGAATAGATAAAAACGAGAGAAAGGGGGAATAGTCAAAGTCAGTCGCACTAAGTGTGCGGCTGCGGTGCGATGACGTCACACCGTCGATCTCACAAAAATCGAGGGCCCAGGGCCATCTCGAATTATTGCCTAGGGGTTAGAGTGTCRAGGCACACTCTCCATCTCGAATTATTGTCTAAGGGCTAGACTGTCGGGGCACACTCTCCAACTCGACTATAAAAGCAAGCAACGCCCAGCAGTTGCCACACAAGGAGCACGTACTGTGAGTGGTCGCACCCTCTAAGGCAATTGTGAGTTGTGGGAGTGCTTCGGGAGTGCTGCCGGGAGGCCTTCGAGAGTGCTGCCGGGAGTCTACTAGACGAGTTGCTGGAGTCAAGAGGAGGAGGAGGAGCCACCATAGCTACAAGGTGGGGGCACGTTGCTGCCACCTTGGGTTGGTACCGGACCTACGACACATGTGYTAGGGACCACTCYGTTGGAGCGGGGGCTCGWCTYGAAGACTCAAGGGAGCGGCATTTTGGACGTAGCTTCGGCCGTTGGGCCGGGTTTTATTATTTTGAGRTTGGACGTGGCYGACRTAAGGGAGCATGCTA